ACACACACACACACACACACACACACACACACGTAGGGAGCCTATTCTGTTAAATCAGAATTATCCAAAGACAGATTGTATAAACTTTACTACTTCTACTACTTACTTATAAGAAGATGTAATTCTGGATCTGAATGACTAGTCAACTGCAGATCTAAGCAAATAAGCAATACTCAAAGCTATTTTAAAAATTCAAAAAATAAGAAATATTCGACAATAAGGCATATGCCAAATAAGTTGTAGAGGAGGAAAACTAGAGGAACAATAAAGAATGTGAGCAAATTAACTGACAAAGAAACTGGAAAACACTGATCTAAGTATTTAAAAGCCACAATGTAATCTTTGAGAATGATTATTAAACTGAACCAACCTTGTCAAAACAAACAAGATTCAGCTGTCCACAAATATTTATCCTCTGGGGACTGATACAGAAAATGCCGAGTTTTTTCAGTCTTCTCTGAGCATACACAATACCAGCGGTCATTGCAGCAGGAAGTGCAGGTGGCACAGTAATTGTAATGATATCAAGAGACTTAATAATTATGACCCCAACTTCTACCTATAATTAACACAAATATAAATATCAAACCCATAATATTAAACATTTACTAATTTAATATGGATATTTCTTTAGTAAAAAAGACTAAATTATTTTCAATTTTATATGTGTGTACATACAGAACTCTATTAATCATTTATAGTTCTTTCCTTCAAAAAAAAAAAGCAAGTTCAATGAATTGTACAATGACACCTATTTTTACAGAACATGGTTCTCATTTTAATAACCTACATACTTCACACAACACACATCCAAAGTAGTTCACAAACTTTGTCAGATATTGAAACATCCTAAAAACACAGTATTGTGCCAGTATCTACAAGGTACAGAAAAGAAAAATTGGACAAGAGAGGTGCCCTCAATTAAGCAATCAGAAATCATTTTAATACTGAATATTATCTATCCCAGTGGGGAGGGGGAGAAAATAAATCTTTTGGTGAATATTTACCTTTGACCCCCATTCCTCACTCCCCCGATTTTAGATTTTTACGGTAGAGTACATGTGCTCACTAGGGAGAGAGAGGGAAAGAAAGAAATCACCCCTAGGGGGGATGGCCACATCATTCTCCTCTACATCATTCTCCTCTCAGTACTTCGGCCTCACACCACATGCACACTCGTCCAACATGTTTTTCAAGCCACTGGGCCTGGGACTCAAAACTGTGGTCAGTCACGTAGGAGTCCAGCTCCTTTATCACAATACCTGCCAGACTCCTGCCCCCCACACTTTTTTAAAAGAGATTTTTTTGCTATAGGGCGTCACTCGCCAGAGTGACAGACAGAAAGTGAGAAATAACCCTCCAGAAGGGATGGCCCTGCTAATTCTTTCTCCTCTCAGGACTTTGGGCAGGCACGCATGCACATACACATGCTCAGTATGAGTTTTAAGCCTCCAGGTCCAAGACTCAGGTCAACCATGTGGCAGTCCAGGCCTTAACCAGTGTGCCACCTCCCTGCCCATTTTCAAGTCATAAGAGAATAAGCAAGATTATCTAAACCAAAGCTATCCAAAAGAACTATCTACCGCAATGATGGAAATGCTGTATATCTGAAGTTTCTGATACAATACCTATCAGTCTCATATGGATTTTTAAAGTTAAATTAATTAAATTAGCATTAAAAGTTTAGTTCCTCAGCTTCAGCAGCCATATTTCAAATTCTTTTTTTTTTATTTTGAGAGGTTTTCGCTATAGGGCGTGTGCGCTCACCAGAAACAGAGAGAGACAGAGAGACAGAAAGCGAGAAATCACCCCCCAAGGGGGATGGCCACGCTGCAACTCCTTCTCCTCCATTCTCCTCTCGGAATCTTGGGCACGCACGCACACGCACCCGGCATGAGTTCTAAGCCACTGGGTCTGGGATGTGAACCGCAGTCGACTATGTGGGAGTCCAGCGACATAGCCATTACGCTAACTGCTGGTTCCCTTCCATATTTCAAATTCATAATAGCATGATAAATAATTAAGAACTTAAGAACAAACCCTCTCGGGATTGGCAGATGGCTTGGTGGTTAAGGCACTGGACTACCCCACAGCCAACTGTGGTCTGAGTCCTAGGCCTGATGGCTTACTTTCTCCCTCTTCCTCTCCTTCTCTGTCTCTATATCTGGTCAAATTGAAGAAGAATAAATAAAAAAAAAATAGTTCTTAAAAAAAGAAAAAGGAAAAGAAAAAGAAAAAAAAACCTCCAACAGTCCCACATACGTACCTCATTTAAAACGCTATTGATGATTGTGTAGATAAACCCAATTCCTGCCACTGCTACAAGACACAGTAGAAACAAGTAGGCATCTCTGTAGAGTTTAAAATCAGTGGGTTTGGGATACAATATGGAACGAACAAGTTGTCCTTTAGAAGTACTAAATCCTTTATAAAAAATGTAAAAGAAAATTACTTATATTTTTACAAGGAAATGAGAATTACCTCCCAAAACAGAATCCCTTTTTAAATATTCACCAATTATCAAATAGGCTAAGACATGTAAGATCCAATAAAACATTTTCTACCTGTCCTAACTACTATGGCTTTGACAAGTTCTCCAGTGTAGAAACGAGTCTGAATAACAGTCGTCCCACAAAACAAAGTGTGTCGCTTATGTGTTTCCGGACTGTATAATTCATCTCCCATTCCTTTTATGTCCACTGAAGGATTTGGCAAATTTGTCTTTGTCACTGGAACACTTTCTCCTAAAATAAATAAATAAATAAAGTTAATTCACAAGTTCTTAAAAGAAAGCATAGAAATCAAACATTTAAAAAAACTCACTGTCCTAAATGTTCCACTATTTACAATAGTCATGAAGAATTCTGAATGTGGATAACATATGGCTATGATAGCTTGGTCACTTTAGTTTTTTGTCTACCAATTTTCTCATACAGAAATACCAAATTCTGTCTCCCACAATTTCAGAAAGTAATTTGTAACTCAAGGGTAATAACTATTTATAGTCAGAAATAATGGTGTTGTTCAGTTTCAAATAATTTCAAGGATGACAACCAGGTACTTGTGATAGACCCAGCACCTATTCTCTTGTCTGAAAGGACTGAATTGGAAAGCACTGTTACCTCAGGTACGTAACAGATGTAAAGACCTACCCCAAATCTAATACCTGCCTACAGACACAGACACACACACAAGAAAAGGCATCTACGCAAGGAAGAGAAGAATGAGTAGCATGGGGATGGCCATGGCTTGAATAATGGTTTGTCCCCTCAAAGGTTTATGTTAGAATTTGGTCCCTGATACAATGGCACTGTGATGTGGTAAGACCTTTACGAGATGAGGCCTAGTAGGTAGTGTCTGGATCATGGAGGCATCCCCCTCATGAATGACGAATGCTATTTTGAGAGACATAAATTCTTACTCTTGCAGAAAAGAGTCAATTCCCTCAGGTCAGTTTCTACACACACTGCTGACCTTCTTGCTTCTGTTTGCCATGCTATGATGGAGCACTGGAGGCCAGCCAAAAGCTGGCCCCATGCTCTTAGACTTTCCAGTTGTTGGAAATATGAATCAAATAAACCTCTATTCTTTATAAATCACCCATTCAGGTATTTTGTTAGCAATTTTAGGATGGACTAAGACAAAGGTTTCTCTTAAACAACTATAAACAGCCGAGTTCTTTTCAAAATTTAATTCTTTATATAATTTATGCTTCTCACTTCAAAGGCAACAAGTATGTAGGAATATGTTTAAAGCTAAGACTCGGGATAAGCAGGTAGCATGGAGGTTAAGGTGCTGGATCCCACACGGCTAATGGCACAGTTCATTTCCCTGACCGGGGCAGCTTGAAAATCACATTGGGTGCATGCGTGTGCGTGTGTGGAGTGCCTAAAATCCTGAGATAAGAATGGAGGAGAAGGGATCATAGTGTGGCCATGACCCCGGGGGATGATTTTTCACTTTCCCTCTCTTCTGGAGTATGCACATGACCTATAGCAAAACTAGAAAAAAAGAAAAAAAAAAGATTAAAAAAAAAGGAAAGATGCTTAGAAATTTCAAAATGAATTGTTTAGAAATCATTTTCTTGCCAGACTATGACAAAAAATTTCAATTAAAAATGATGTATATAATAAAGTAATTTTAATGAATTCACAATCTGCCTCTACATTATGAATTCCAAAGGGAATTCATTTTAAAGCTAACTTCTTCCCAATTTAAAAAATAAATAAGGGACCAACATATGGCATAATGGTTACATCACTAGACTCTCACATAGTCAAACATGGTTCAAGTCCCAGATCTGGTGGCTTGAAACTCACGCCAGGTACATTTGCATGCATGTCCAAAATCCCAAGAGGAGAATAGAGAAGGGTTTGTGGTGTAGCCTAGGGGGTGATTTCTTACTTTCTTTCTCTCTGATGAGCACATGCACCTTATAGCAACAATCTCTCTTAGAAAAAAAAAATAAAATCTTTTTTTTTTTTTTTTTGGAGAGGTTTTTGCTATAGGGCACGTGCGCTCACCACAAAGATAGAAAGACAGAGAGACAGAAAGCGAGAAATCACCCCCCAGGGGGGATGGCCATGCCGCAATCCCTTCTCCTCCATTCTCCTCTTGGGATCTTGGGCACGCACGCACACGTGCCTGGCGTGAGTCTAAGCCACCGGGTCCGGGATTCGAACTGCAGCTGGCTACATGGGAGTCCAGCAACATAGCCATTATGCTAACTGCTGGAACCAATAAATAAAATCTTTACTTATTCCCACTTTTTACACAACAGGGGAGGCAAGCAAAATGCTGTGTTCTCTGTGGAGAAGGACTTCTTTCCTCTTCCCTTACCATAAACCATTTTCTCCTATCGAGAGTGGCCACAGGTAGGCATGAGAGGAAATCGATATCAGAATAGTGATTTAAACACAGATAATTCTGAAACTACTTAATCCTAATATAACTACACACAAATCACGTGATATTAACTCATTTGGTTTACCTGTTAACATGCTTTCATTTACAATGCAAGTACCATTAATAAGCACTGCATCACAAGGCATAACTGTTCCATTTAGTGGAATGACCACGACATCTCCTGGCACAAGGTCTGTAGAAAAGATCTCTTCTATTTCTGAATTTAAAAAAGAAAAAGAAGATTAAAAAAAAATTCTTCAAACTGGAATAAAAATATAGCAAACAAAACAATATATCCAAAGATCACATGATCTTGGTAAGTTAATAATATGATGAGTTGAACAGAAACATCCCAATAAAATAAAAGTATCAACAGATAAGATTATTTGGCTAACGAGGCATGACATGTCAGCCAGTTTGTACCCTGACGGGACACCGACTGAGCACAGGGAATGCCAAGTTTCTTCTGGCCACACAGGTCATAACTAAAGCCCAACATCCCCCTTGACAAATTATAAATTAAACACTGTAATATTTTATCTAGTTCATTATTTCCTTAGAAATTTAAGTTCGCTAAATACTTTTTACAAAGATCTTCCGACGGGTAAAAGGTTTTTCTTTAGGGCCACCTTATGTTTAGGTATCATCTCTTCCTCTCATTCTTTCTTCTTCCTAAGGTTTAACACTGTACTCAGAAAAGAATTATAATAGTTTGCAAATAAAGATGGGGGAGAAAAGTACTGCTTTGAAACACTTACAGAGAACAAACATTCATTTCTTTCCTTCGAAAATAAGGCAGTAGGGGCAGGGGCAGTGGTATAGCAGTAACATGAAGCTCTGTGATTTTTTTTTTTTTGGAGAGGTTTTTGCTATAGGGCACGTGCGCTCACCACAAAGATAGAAAGACAGAGAGACAGAAAGCGAGAAATCACCCCCCAGGGGGGATGGCCATGCCGCAATCCCTTCTCCTCCATTCTCCTCTTGGGATCTTGGGCACGCACGCACACGTGCCTGGCGTGAGTCTAAGCCACCGGGTCCGGGATTCGAACTGCAGCTGGCTACATGGGAGTCCAGCAACATAGCCATTATGCTAACTGCTGGAACCAATAAATAAAATCTTTACTTATTCCCACTTTTTACACAACAGGGGAGGCAAGCAAAATGCTGTGTTCTCTGTGGAGAAGGACTTCTTTCCTCTTCCCTTACCATAAACCATTTTCTCCTATCGAGAGTGGCCACAGGTAGGCATGAGAGGAAATCGATATCAGAATAGTGATTTAAACACAGATAATTCTGAAACTACTTAATCCTAATATAACTACACACAAATCACGTGATATTAACTCATTTGGTTTACCTGTTAACATGCTTTCATTTACAATGCAAGTACCATTAATAAGCACTGCATCACAAGGCATAACTGTTCCATTTAGTGGAATGACCACGACATCTCCTGGCACAAGGTCTGTAGAAAAGATCTCTTCTATTTCTGAATTTAAAAAAGAAAAAGAAGATTAAAAAAAAATTCTTCAAACTGGAATAAAAATATAGCAAACAAAACAATATATCCAAAGATCACATGATCTTGGTAAGTTAATAATATGATGAGTTGAACAGAAACATCCCAATAAAATAAAAGTATCAACAGATAAGATTATTTGGCTAACGAGGCATGACATGTCAGCCAGTTTGTACCCTGACGGGACACCGACTGAGCACAGGGAATGCCAAGTTTCTTCTGGCCACACAGGTCATAACTAAAGCCCAACATCCCCCTTGACAAATTATAAATTAAACACTGTAATATTTTATCTAGTTCATTATTTCCTTAGAAATTTAAGTTCGCTAAATACTTTTTACAAAGATCTTCCGACGGGTAAAAGGTTTTTCTTTAGGGCCACCTTATGTTTAGGTATCATCTCTTCCTCTCATTCTTTCTTCTTCCTAAGGTTTAACACTGTACTCAGAAAAGAATTATAATAGTTTGCAAATAAAGATGGGGGAGAAAAGTACTGCTTTGAAACACTTACAGAGAACAAACATTCATTTCTTTCCTTCGAAAATAAGGCAGTAGGGGCAGGGGCAGTGGTATAGCAGTAACATGAAGCTCTGTGAGCCTGACCTACATGGGAAGGGTCCAGCCTCATAACTGTGATCCAGGGCTGGCAGGGGGGACCACAGTATCAAAACCTTGACTGGGATGCTATCTCTTTACTTCTGTCTCTATCACTAATAGAAGAAAGAAATTTACTAAATTATAAGAAAATAACTTTTTAAAAATGATATTGACTTTTCTTAAAGCTTTAACACCATTTGAAATTCTACTCCTTTTAGGTATATCAGAAAATAAAACGTTGGGTCACCCAGTGACGTGATGGTTAAGGTGGCTGGATCCCACATGGCTGACAACGTGGCTCAAGTCCCAGACCCAGCAGCTTGAAAAACGTGCCATGTGTGTGTGCTCACATGCCCCAAAATTCCTAGAGGAGAATGGAGAAGGAATTGTGGTGTGATCACAACCTGGGAGGGGGTAGGTGGCATGCTTTCTCACTTTCCCTTTCTCTCCTTCTCATCTGGTGAGTGCATATGACTTATAGCAAAAAATTAAAAAAAGAAAGAAAACAAAATGGCATGATATCTATAACTATACAAAGAGGGTGAGGGAGATAGAGGTTGACTGGTATGTCTGTCCTAACACTGCAAATATCCCCAAACAACAGAATAAGAGGAGGGTAAGTACTGACACAATACACATCTGAGAGCAACTGGGGGCGGCACACTACACATCTGAGAGCAACTGGGGGCAGCGCTGATGTTCTCAGCTAGACTAGCAAGTGACTAGGAAACAAAGAGAAGGAAGTAATCACTTAGGTGCAGACTGAGTCAAAGAGAATAGAAACTGATTTGGCATTCTATTAACAAATAAATCAAAGTGACTACTGCCTCCAAGGCCTATGATGCTGTTCTTATCTCCTTTATTTCTTCAACATCTCATCAAACAAACTTACATGCCCAAACCATTACCCTGCCTACAATTCTGCTTCTCTCCAGTATCCCCTATTTAATCCATAGCACTAACATTCACCCATTCATCCAGCCCTGCCCACGACCCTATATCCAAAGAATCACCAAAGCCTATTCAATGCCTGTATTTAAGTATCCTTCAAATCTAGTTCATCACTCTTCACCACAACCCCGACCTTGATCCAGGTTATGTCTTCAGTATCATTCTCTTCTAAGCCAGTCTGAACATGGAAGCCAGTATGGATTTTCCCAAAGAACAAATATGGTAGCACTTTTCTGCTTTAAGAACCCTTCAATGGCTTTTCATTGCCTTGTGGACAAGTCCAAACTCCTTAACATACCATACAGAAGGCCCTTTGTATCTGCCATACTGAGTTTCTTTCAGTTCTTAAATGACTGCACTAAATCTTATTTCCAGGCCTTTGGACTCTTAGAACACTCCTCTCTCCCACTCTCAACCTCACCTTACTAACTTCTCATCTACCTTTTATCTGGCTTAATTCCTCATGCAAAGAGTCATTGCTTAAAAATACTTCAAAGCCGGAGACCAGCAGGTGGCATCGTGGTTAGGGTGATGGACACTCCCACATGGCTGACCATGGTCTGAGTCCCAGACCTGGTGGCTTCTTTTCTCCCTCCCCCCCTCCCCGTGTCTCTCTCTGGTCAAATTAAAATAAATGAATGAATAAATAAAATTAAATAAATAATAATTTTTTAAAAAAAGAAAGTCGGGAACCAGCAGTTAGCGTAATGGCTGTCGCTGGACTCCCCCATAGTGGACC